AAACCAAACCAAAACCAAACAAAAAATGTCCCCCATGTGGCTCTCCCCTCCCCCCCTCCATTGCCAAAATACACCCAGCTTGTGTTTTCTGCTAGACAGGGAACAAACAGACCTCAACAGAGTGTTTTGTCATCCATCCAAAAGCATTCACCCTTCTAATAGCATGTGGGTGATGAGAGAGTTGGAATTGACATGTCATATCCCAGGTCAGAAAAATACTGCCAGACCCTTCCTGGAGGGATCTTGGAACCTGACAATTCTGATGACTTTTAAAATCAAAATTGTATTTCTAGTAGTGGATGGATAGAACATGGTGGAATCCTGGTGTTATGGAAGATGATGACAGAATCCACATAGAATTGAGTATGACCAATACTTTATCTGGAGTCTTCTAACTCTAACATACTTTTTAAAAAAGCCATTTAAAAAGTTAACATTTTTAATACTGACTATCTGTTGTCCCTTAATTAGGTAACTTCTGTTTCTCGAAAGCAACTACTGAACATGGTGGTTTTCATATTTTTTTTTTCTCAGAAGTAAGCTTGTAGCTCAACCTTTTCATAACATTTGCATTTTAATATACACAATTCAGTGATTTATAACACCAACAAAAAAATGGTGATACAGTAACCATCTAGGCTGGTAGTGCAAACCAGCTGTACTGGAACACCATTAAAATAATGCAACCTAAAAGCATATGTGTCATCTCTTAGTTGTACAATAGTTGTCTTTTGTCTTTTTGCACATTGAATTTAGAATTGGTTTCTAGCTGAGTCATATCACAGCCCAGCTTGTCTGACCAGGAGACACCGTGCACTGAATCAGCTCCCCCCAGCTACAGATATAGCTTTGAAAGCTGGAAGGACAGGGGAACTGCAACTGAGGCTGATGGGCAGATGGTGCCGCATGGAGGGAAATCTGAAAGAAAAGACAGGAAACTTTTCTTCCAACTAGTCATTCTCCTCCTAACAGACTTGCCTGAAAGAGGCTTCCTTGCCAAATGGTCTTACTGAATTCAGTCACTTTTCATCTACTTGAAGAGTGGCCCAGAGAATCTCAGTTTCCTTCCCTGGTTCACCTGAGCCTGCCCAGCAAACCTGCAGTAAAGGCAAGTCCGTGGGACTGCTCTAGTGTGTTTGAAGTTTTTTATATGTGGAAAAAATGTCTTTAGGCTCCTCATACTGCAAACCTTGACTTAATCACCTTCCTAAACCATGCAAATTCCTTTGCAACACTCCTTATTAAAAATTATAATGAAAGAAAACTAGGAATAATTGGGTTGGATTGTTTGTCTGACCTGCAATGATACCGATACATCTCTTATTAAAACAGATCCAATTACAGAACTGTGGGTTCTAGTTTTGAAGAGATTGTCAGCCATTTAGGTGTACCTTGTATCAGCAGGGAGAGGGACAGATTTTTCCCAATGGGTGTGTTTTCTGGAGGTTTCTATTGAATATAGTTTTTTGACTCTATAAGTTGTACTGTGTAACAAAATGGATCGCTGTACTTGTTCTCCTGTGGTGGGGAAAAAACATGGATTAGTATGTAGAGTTAATGGACCTTCTGTTGTTGAAGTTAACCTTGTGGTTTTCACAGACAGGATGAGCTATGAAGACATTGGCATCAGTGAAAATCAGGCTCTAGAGAAACCCCTGTGTAACACATGCACACATTCATGTAAAATCTGTTTCATAACAGTGGTTTTGAGTTTAAAAAAAGTAGTTTGGATTCAAAAATGCCAGTTTGTTTTGAAATAGTTTGCTTCCTATCTATTCTGCTGCTGCAGTACTTTTCATCTAATCCTGTGTTGTCAGTTTGTGACCTTTCCTGGATCTGGTGGCAGCATGTAAGTACCAGTCTTTGTCTTAGCTTTTGATGCCACTTAAAAAGGTAACCATTGATGCCAATGCGTTGTCATTGCCTCTTTTTTTTTTTTTCTTCATTGCTAATGCCAGAGGGGTGTTTAAATGTCTAGAAATCATGCTGTCTCCTGCATGTGTACAGCTGGATGAAGCCCCTTTGTGGTTTCCTGCTGTCACACCCAACTACATCATTTTTAGAATCTGATCAAATCCCACTTTGAAATGAATGAGATTTTTGCCCTCAAAAATTTGTTTCATGTTTCTATTCTAAATATGTGTTCATTCCTTTTCCATTTCACCTAGCTTTAGGTCTTTTAAAGTTAGATGTTGAAGTCTGATATAAGCACACCAGTAGAAGAAGACACCTCCAGAGTCCTTCATCTGATGTCTTTTAGTTGTCTTGTTTTACAGTGAAAATAAGTACCCTATGGAGGTATCAGGTTCTCTCCACTCCTGAATGATGGGCTCAGATTTAGACATCTGACCGGGGACAGCTACAATGACATAGGTGAATCTTAAAATAATGACCAAAATGAGCTGGTCTAGCAAAGTCTTCGTTCACACTGCTAAGCTACCAATATTTGCTCTGAGTGAAAACGTTTGGGGAATGATGGGCGAAGTGGTTCACCTCTCAGGGCAGAGGGAACAGCAGCCCCCGGTGGGGTGAGTGAGAGCTGGCAATCAGCAGCTGCAAATAAGGAGGCAGCCACCATTGCTCGTGACTGACACCTCTCAGAGGTGCATGCAAGGTCCGTTTCCTTCACGCCGTGCTGTGTCTGCAGGCGCTGGGTAAGGGTTGGGTGCCCTGGGCGGAGCCCTGGCAGGGTGGCAGGCAGGCTGCTCGGCAGCGGGGTGCCTGGGGACCGGTGCCCTCCCCTGGGGCGCCCTGCGCTCTGCAGAGCCGGCACTCCTCCGTCAGCCCCTCCTACGTGCACAGCGCGTTCTCGGCGGCTGCCTCGCTCAGAACCGACTGCACAAACTAGGCTTGTGATTTTTTTTCCTTCAGGGGTTATTTTCACTGTGTAAATGGGAGCCAGTGCTTTTAATAAGAGTAAGCGACATTATTTCAGTATGATAGCTTGTTCTGAGTACAGTGTAGCTCAGTGAGTTCCTAACCTGCAGTTCATGGATGTTCTGACTTTAAAATGCTCATGATGTTGAGCCACAGCTACAGGAGATGAAAGAGAACTGCAACAAGAAGGCAGAGCACAGTGGGGTGTTGCCTGCAGCAGGTTACTTGCTGCAAATTATTATACGTGGACCAGTAAAAGTTTCTGATCCTCCTTTTGTTCTTTTAAGCCTTTCAAAAGCCAGCGAGGACTTTGCAGCACACGTTTTCAGATTTTAAAATACTGAGTTTTTATTTCCTGCCCTTTCATCACACTGTAACTCAGGGATTTGTTTTTGAAAGTAACTCAGTTTTTGCTCAAGTGTGGGGAAGAAATGCAAAAAAACCCAACCCTCCTTAAAAAGATTTTCTTCATCAATTCACAAGTAAGAAAAAACTGATTAGATTAGGAAGTATCATCAGTCTTCATTGCAGAACCCTATATGGTTTAAAATTAAGTTTACATTAATTGGTCAAATTACTTATATTTTAAAGTCACAGTGGGCACCATCTAGATCTCAGGTGACGACAAGTTAATGCATAGACTGTAATAAAACTCTGCAATAAGTGGCAACATTAACAGAAGAGGAAATGGTGAGAGAAGACCAAGACTTCAGTGTTTCTGTCTAAACTGCTTGTTAGTTGTCCCAGTTTGTCTTTCTGGTTCCTGCCCACATTGCCTTTGGACGCTTCGTGCTGGTTAAGAAACAGATGAAAAATTAGTAATGCTGGTGTGGGAATATTGCATTTGTAAACCCAGAGTTTTCCTTTACTAACAGTTTTTGTATATGCATGGCCTGGTTACTCTGACTTGTTTTCCTATCAGCTTTCTTTTCTTAGAAGACTCATACTGCTGCATTACCCAGGTTGCTTTAGTGTAAGAGAAAACATACATCCCTTGTCTGTAGAGCTCTTCACGCAACTCGTGCTCTGCTCAAGTGCTCCAGTCATTAGCAGGCACATGGGGTCCAGCAGCACCTTCTCCTTAAAGCCAGAGGGATTCACTGCATGGTCTGTTCTCTTGCACTAGACCAGAGAGAGGAACTAGCTGGTACATAGAATCTATGCCTCTTGTTGGCTTGTTACTCTCCACTTAGGTATTTTAGATAAAGAATTGATTGGAGAGGGAGAGCAGTGAGTCAACCATGAGACTAATGGAGATAAATGCAGACTTGTGCTATGTTTTCTATACAATAATAAAAATACTTTATGGGGTGGAAGGGCAAAGGATTCATGCAATACTATTAACATCCAGAATTGTGTTTATTTCTCACTTGTTTAGCGATCTCAAAAATATTCCCCAGGAGTCATACAATATTGATTATTGGTTAGTGTTGTGACTACGTTTGTCACATCAGGCAATATCAGCACATCAATTGCTACCTGATGTTAGAAAACATAGTGGGAATGTTATCTTTAAGGAAAATAGCCTTTTCCCCACAAGAATTCTCCACAAGAATTGTGGAGAAAAGGATACAGGACAAAATTAGTTGAGAGCTTATTTCCATATAAACAAAAGCCACAATGTTTTGGATCTGCTCCCCACCCCTCCAGTTTCTGGATTTGCCTACACCATGTGTATAGACCATGGATCTAAAAGAGAAAATGTAGCAAATAGACTCAGAAAGATCCTCGGGGCAAAGTCTGCCCATCCTGTCAACAGGACGCATAATCTATTAGTTAATAATTATTATAATTTGAATAATATTACAAAAATATTATTCAAATTATAGCTATTATTCAAATTATATTATACTACAGAAAGGAGAAAATCCCCCAAATTTATTTTCATATATTAATTGCCTTGAATTATAAAAATAGTTGGAAGCAATAATATGCACCGGAAATCTTTTCTGCACCCTCTTTTTGTAAATTTATTCTAGGCAGATACACTAAGCATCGCAAACATTCAGTTTAATTTAGTAGTCCTTGGAGAATAATATTTCATGTTTAATCATTTTGCCTGGCTTCTGTTTGGCGTGGAATTTTGTTCTCTTTTTACAATCTGTTTCCTTTATTTCCACCAGGAGAGAGAAACAGAAGAAGGAGATGTCAGGTGGCTTTCAGTTACATGCCTCAAAATGAAGATGAACTGGAATTAAAAGTTGGTGACATCATTGAAGTTGTGGGAGAGGTGAGCGGGTCTTTATGGAACATAGAACCATGCAGCTCTGACATACCCAGTGCGTGCTAAGCTCTTGGATACACTCTGTTGTAAGACATACTATGAACCAGACATTTTTCTTCTCTGGTATACTGATGTGTCTGGTTTGGGTTAGGGATGAGGGGATGTGGTTATTTGCTTATGGATTTCGTGAGCTTTTATTTCCCAGTAGCACTTCTGCTGGTTTTACTCAATCAGTTGACACTTAGGAGTTCTGTTCAGGGAGAAAGCTCAAAAGTTTGCGCTACAGGGCTATTTAGTTTACAGGTCTGAAGAACCAAGATTATAGCAGAAAAAGCTTTTCCCAATTTTAGTAATCCAGCTGCAGGGACAAATTATCTTTACAGAATTCAACACATTTAAGAAATGTACTTGAAGCCCTCTGGAGTTTAGCTGTGACATTCACCTTTTGTCGTCTTTGACTGCAGCTTTTAACCATTTCATTTTAGTCTAATCAGTTTTAAAAGAAACAGAAAACTAAACAAATAACATTACTGAAAAAATTCTTTAGAGACTCAGAATGCACTTATTTTGGGTAGGAATGGACGTGGAAAATTAATGCACATCTCTTAGAAGGACTGGGAACAAATTAGGAGAGCTTGGATGGAGATACAGAAATTTTCTTTGTGTGGGTGAATCTGGTTACAGCTCACAGGATCAAGGAATACAGTGTACTCCCAATACCTTCGGTTTTGTTCCATTGGAGATTTCAGAAATGTCTTCTTGAGCTTAATAGCATGAGGACCAAAAGTCAAAATGCTAACATGAATCCTTGAAGTAAAACGCATTCAAATTCATTTAGTCTTTATTTACTTAGCTATAAAAAGATCTAAGGCCTTAGTGTGCTCACACAGCAATTAAAGGTGTGTTTCAGGTGGTATCACGTATTTGTAGGATTTTTTTCCCCGTGACTCAGCAGCTCATATGTCAATGTTTATTTTCTTATCAAGGATGTGTAGTTAGTTTTCTTTTTTCTGCATCTGTCACTTAAAATAATTCTTTCTAAAAGAATATAAATTCTTCTGCAATCTACATGACATCCAGCATTTTCTTACGAAAGATAAAATTCCAGCCTCTGAATGTAAGAAGCTTAGTGATCGCTGGTTTTCCTTTAACCTAGCTGCATACACCAGCTCTGCACATCATTCCTCCTGGAGTCACACATGATGTGTCACTTGAGTAACCTTATTCTGTCTGTAATGGAGGCTGTCAAGGCTGTAAGGTATATGAGAGCTTTTTCTGAAGGCAGTGTAAACCCGATATAATAAGTTTCATGGTAACACATGAGATGTTTTCCTTGCACAGTTTGAGGTATATTTGACCTCACATGGCCACACAAATATCTTCCGTCAGTTACCCTACTTAAAACTTTCAAGTCTGTGTCTTTCAAGAGTAAAGTGATGGAATAAAACCCCTTCCTAGTATGCAGCCAACAAATTAACTCTACCAAATGAATTGTATGATTAAATAATTTAGACAAAACAATAAACTTCTCTTATGAAGTGCATCACTTGTCTTCTTATAAACTGGAACAAATAAATTATAAATGACAGATTTATTTAAATCCAAGTGAGACTGAAAATGTGAGCATTAAAGTTGAAAGATGTAGAACCATGAAAGTGAAACATTCCTGTACTCGCATGTGTGTGCTTATAGTTAAGGGCATGGTTTTTAGAACGCACTTGGGATTGCCAATTACAGACTTAAAACTGATAATTGTACCTTGAATTGTTACTGTTGATTGCTATAACTTGCTCATTTTGAGATTTAAGAAAATAGGTTGGCTGGGGCTGCCTTTTTTATTGGCAGTCCTAAAGAATGTCATAGTGGAATTAGTTATACTGTAGTGTGGGAAAGGATTGTTTATGGCTAGCTTGAACTGCTGGCCATAAGTAAATGCCAAGGATGAGCAGCTGACACGTGTAAGATTGTGCCCACTTTGACCTTATGAAATACCCTGTTCTGTCAGCTACTGAAACATAAGCTCTGCCTCAGGCATCATCTGGAGTGTTCATGCAATCCAGGACATTGACTCTTTTGACTGGAACTAGATCAGCTGGTGGAAGAGGGAGAATAAAGGGATTTAGAAAAAATTCTCAGCACCTCAGGAAGTGTTGTGTGACCTTCATTTTCCATCATGGTTGACAACAAGCAGTTGATGTTAAATACTTGCTGTTATTACTTCCTCTTCTGTCCTTATCATAGTACTGTTAATTCCTAAAAAGTGTATGGCAGAATTTTTCTTTTGAAATGGGAACTTTATTTGATATACAAAGCTGCATCATGCAATGTACTGATTTCACCCTTTACCTTTCTGCTAGTAGGTAATGCTGCATAAAGAGTCATGGCACTGAAACAGGATTCACAGTATCATTATACGATGGTCCTTATTTCAAGTGATAAATGTTTAATGTGAGGGACTTCTTATTTAAAAAATATTACTTCCTCAGTTGTAAAAATAGACATTTGCAAGGGCCAAAATCATGCTGGTTTTGTTTGTACAAAAAAAACCCCTCAAAACAATAGAAAAAAAGCCCTCCCACATAGGCCACAAGTGGAAGCATTCCTTGCAAAATATCATTTTTATTTATTATTACTCAAGATGAAAAACTGGATGATAGCATCTTCAATATTATTTACGGTGGTTCAGTGAGTAATTGGAATGTTAATGGTCATTCACTTTCCATTTCCAGTTGCTGCTGTCTCTTACCCATCTTTTTAGTCATGAGTAGAAGGTCTCAGGTTTCCACAGGTAATATTTTATTGTATCCACCAAGCTGCATCGGTTGAATTAACTGGTTTTAAATTAATTAATATTTTAAAATGTCTAGGGATTTCTGTTTAGTTGAAAATAAATTGATTCCTAACTGATTTTTGTCAGACTAAAATGGATATTGTCTAGATCAAAATACTGTCTATCTTTATGTGAATATTTAGCAAAAAATGTGTTTAAGACACAACTTACGGTTGACAACTCAGTAAACTTTCCCTGTTTCAAGGAAAGCTGATTCCTGTTGTACTGTGCTGATTTGGTTTCATGCTTAAAAAAAGAGATTCTGATCTTTCTTGAACCGCTTGAAAGTCACTGCCTCCAGCATTGGGCTGGTGAAGGCGAATGCAAGTCTTCTCCTCAGCTGCCCCCATCAGTGCCCAGCTGTGTTTCCCCAGACCCCCAGAGAAAATGGGTTACACTGAGGTCACATGGTGACCTGCTGGGGATAAGGGTATCTTCCCTTCTCCTACATCTGCTTCTGGGTGCTAAACTCTTTGGGTGGAGTAGCATCTCGAGCTGCCCCGGATCCTTCTTTTTAGTGCCAACAGGTTGGATAAGTTACTTTTCTATGTCTGTGCTGGTGATAGATACTATTAGAAATTCTTGTCATGGCAGAAGTGGTTTGGGCCTGTACAGTGGATTGAAATGACAGCAACAGCAAGTGTGAATTTTGAGAGGCTGGGCTTGTCACCAGATGGATATCCTTGGAGACTGTGTATGTTCACAATTCACAGTTCCTTCCTGTTTGTTCTACATAGAAATTAACTATAATGAGATCAAACGTTCACCACAGTAGATAAAACGCTTCGTGTTAAACTAGAGATTTCCATAACTATGCTGATACCCATGAGACATTAATTAACAATCTTAAATTAAAAGTACATTGGAAGTTAATGAGAAGCATTTTCATCATTGTTTACATTCATATTTAATGTGTGATTGATAGCTTTTTGCTTGTCATTTTCCTACCTCATTAGCTATGACTCTAAATACAATTGTAACTAATTGTCTTAATAAATGCAGATATCTGAATTCCAATTATGGTTCACCCTTAGACTTTTATGGGAGGCCAGGCAATTGACCTGTAGCATCAGAGTAAGGACATTTGGCATGTCATTCAACAGTTCTGAGCCTGTGGACAGTGCCACATGTACAGAACTCTGTGATACTGCAAGAAAGTAGCTGGAAATAAATTCTGGGGTTCTGCATCCCTCGGTTACCTTTATGTGAAATGCTGTGGTAAGGTGTTTTTCCTGATCTTTTTCCAAAGGTGGTTCACAAGGACTTGTATGACTGCTACTTGTTTGGTAGTTTGTGTTAAAAAAAGCCCCCAACAACAAAAACCCAAACTAAAAAAAAAAAAAAAAAAAAAAAAAAAAACACCACAGCACATTTTGACATTGTAATTTAAAGAACTCTGAAGCTGGAAGGATCCCCTAATACAAGGTACTTGTGCAGTTTTTAATTCTTCCCTTTTGCATCAGAGTTATCGAACAGTTTCCAGATGTGCTGTAGCAGAAGCCCAAGAGCTGGTTGATGTCATGTGGGCATTGCTGTCTTTAGTGCATTCCCAGAATAAACCATCAAGCGGCACTGTAGGCACCATCCTCAGTTGACGTCTTCGTTTCCAAAATGTCTTTTCCCATTGACAGAGAATATGATTTGTTTATTTTGCCTTTTGGGAATCTGTGTTTTTAATTTCCTTTCAACACATGATTACTTTTGTCCTTCAGGCTCAAGATCTTCCATTAGAATTTATGAAACAAGGGATTTTTTTTTTTTTTTTCCCTCTTTTGGTTCCATGCTCTAGTTCTCTCTAAGCGAAAGACAACTTGTTGACCTTGGGCTCCCCTCCTTCCTGTTGCCTGCCTCTGGCATTGCTTTTATTCCTAGGACTGTGTTTTAGTTTTAATATCCCAGAAAGACTCTGTTGAGTCTAGGGATCTAGGGAGACTTCCTTTCACCTGAAACCTTTCTTCATTCAAAACCTCCCTCCTTTGCCCTACCTGAGCTGTAAGTAGTCAGTCAACCTACTAGGTAAAAAAAAAACCTATGGGTTGTAGAGAAGCTTGTGGAACAGGCAGATATAGGAGCATTTTAGGTCAGCAATTCCAAAGAGCTGAACATTTTACTAATTTAGCAGCTTCAGTCTGTTGATTATATAGCAAAGTGTAAGCAAGCAGCTGTGGCAGTCCTAGATACTCTGGCAAGCAACTGCTAGTAGGTGGCCTCAGCATTTCCTGCTCTTTTTGGGTAACCTGTCCTGGAGTTACACGGATGGCAGCCCAGTTCCTCAAGGGAAGGTGCTTGTAGCAACAAGGTATCTTCATTAAAAATGTAAATAAAACCCAAAAAACCAAAACCCAATGATAGTGGAAGAACATTTGAATGTTTCATAATTATAATATAGTTAAATTTCCCTTTAAATCCCAAAGGCAAGGCTTCTTGATGAGCTGCATTTCTCTAGAGACGATGCACTGTTCTCTGGTGATACTGTTGTTCCTATCTCATTCAGTCACAGGTGTTGGACTGCATATAGCTGTCTGCTACTGCATCTTGTCCCTGCGCCACGCATGGTGCTGTCTGAGTTCCAGCTGGGTGCACATTTTGTTACCTCCTTAAATATATGAAGTGGGGTTATGAAGTAGTTTAAGTCACTTTCCTGTATGTTGTTGCCCTTCAAATGTGGTGTGGTGGCAGTACCTGTGGCCTAGGGGCTTGTCAAGATGAGGAAATGCCGTGCCTCTCCAAAAGGCAATGAACAGATAGAGCACACTGAAAGCACATCTTGAAAATACCTCTAGCTGTAGCCACTTGCATTTGGCAGATTGGAAATATTCTTCTTCTAAGTTAAAAGCGAAACCTTTGTTTTGAGGCTGAACTTAGAATTGGTGTGTGGGATATTATGAGAAGTAGAACTTCTTTTCCGGTGTAGGAACATGGACTCCTGAATGAAATCCTCCTCTTTTTAGATTGTTTGGTTCAGCACATGAATTCTGGGCATAAATCAGAACCTAGATGTATAAATCCTGAAAGCACTTTGTTATAAGAGTGTAGTAACAGATTTTATTCAGTGCTCCTACCTCTAGATGGATTACTCCCATGAGTAATGGATTTTCATTTGTAAGGTTTTATTGGCTGGGAATTATTGTGCCATTTCAAACCATATGGTAATGGATGGCCTCAGTTTGGAATAACTAAATCCCGGGGGTGTTTTAGTGTGTTCTTTATTGTATGGATTAATCTCAAGCTGGTATGTTTTTAGGCATAAAAGTATGCAGCATGTGTTATAGTGTTTAAAAATGCTTAAAGCTTTTGATGCTCTTGGCAAAAAATTTCTTAATAAATGTTTGGGAGCCCAGTTTGACCTGAACCTCTGATATCTTGCTAACATGATTGTGCATTTTCCTTGGAAAAAGGATTTTGCTTCAGATTTTTCTAAATTTGTAAAATTATTGAGTATAACATGGTATTTTCTGATACTTCATTCTTATATCATCTGGAAAACTTAAAATAAACTAATCTGTAAGTATGTTTGCATCCAATTTAGATTTACCTGTCTAAAGATCTTTCTGTATGTGTATTTCTATACACATGTGTAGGGATCCATACATAAGCACACCATATTTATGAGTGCTAATATTAACTTTTAAGAAAACTGTAAAGGGTTACCCTGGAAGAAGTAAGCAAGAGAAAATTACTTGAGGGAAAGATGGAATTGAGTGATATTGTTCATCTTATTTCTGTCAAGTGATCTCAGCATCTTGCAAGGCAGGGATCTTGGGAACTGTGCAGTTCCCCTGTGATTAATCTTCTGGTCAATCAGCTAATGCAGTTTCGGCTTGATGTTCAGCTCTAATCAATAAAGCCATCTGGGAATACTGCATTAGAAAAATTGAAGTATTTTATGGCTCAAAGAGTCTTGGTTCTGTGTATTTTCTAGATAGCAATATATATTTATTTAGGTGTTTACAGTTTGTAGAGTATGCTGAGTGTTGTATGTCATGCAGTTTCAGTTTTCTGTATGGATTTTAATTTGTCTTGAGAAAAGAAAAGCAAATACTATCTTTTAGAGACTCTGATACTGTAACGTGAAAAACCTGCACCCCACTGAAGTGATTGAGTGATTTTTATGTATTGTGTCCTCTGAAGTAGGAGCAGGATAATAACCATTATTCCCTGAGTTGTGCTTGACCTCACTAATACTACTGATGTACTGGGGGAACGGGGAAGTTTTGTCAGGGGCAGGTACTGAGATTAAATGAAAGTAGCTGTGCTGGTCTGAGCTGTTTGCAAATTAAAACAAAAAATCAGCCCAGGAGGACAAGAAATGTGTTGAAAAACTTGAAGGTGGAGAGAAGGTACAGGAAACGCTCCTGAAGTAACAACAGTTTTCTTTGTAATAAAATAGTACGTGTAGCTAAGTCGAAAAAAAATCAAACATTCCTCTATAGTTCGAGGAAGTACTTGCTTGTAGTATTAAGAAATGTTTTCTAAGAGCTCAGGATTTTCACAGATAAGTGATACAAACCAGATTTTTTTTTCCTGTAATAATTAAATAGCTCCATTTAAGATGGGGGGGGTTGGTTTTTTTTAACAGTAAATGAGAACACCCTCATATTTTAAAATTAGCTTTCTATTTTCATAATTTTTGTTGGGGGGCAGGGAAGAGAGTGGTCAAATATTATTGGAGACTGATGTTTCACAGACTGACACTGTCCTCTGTCATTTTTTTTTTGTGAATAGACGATGTCTGACTGATGAAAATTATTTATCTGTCAAGGGTGTGTTTAGCTGATGCATATAATAAGTGATTTCTTGCTGTCCCATTATAACCCAAAGGCATTCTGGTTTCTCAGGGCTGTCATTTCACTGCCTGACACCACCATTCAATCCTGACTGGGTTATATAGGAGGAAATTTGTCATTTTTAAGTGATATTTTCTTTTGGGATTGGTCTAGAAAGTGTCTCTTCTTCAGACCATGTAATTATTAAGTATTTCAGTAGCTCTTTGTAGATTTAGAGTCAAATATACATCAGTACTGTTCTTTGCTCTCCATAGATTTCATACATTAACATATTCATGATGTAGCAACAGTTTTAATTTTTAAAATAGACAGTTACTGATTGTGATGGGAAAGGCAGGAACATCCACATGATTTATATTAAGATACCTAGTTTAGCTTATCTGAATAGCCCTTTGCAGGCATTTCCCTTTCACCACTGGTTACTTAGGGAATTTAAACAATCTGCAAATCACATCCATTAAGAGGGTGGTCATGAATAGAAGTACAGCGTGCACTGGAAATTTAGTGATTGAACTGATATCCATAAAAATTGAAATGTAGAGACACTGTGTGCTTTCTGGTTGTTCTTTTAATCCTTTTAATTAATGTTTATCCATGCTTCTGACCGCTGTCAGCACTGCTGATGTTTGCAGATGAGTGACGGGTACAGAAGCAGAGAGAGAGAAATGTTCTGGCTTAGAGGCTGTGCCATGTGCTTCTTATACCTGAAATTAATGCAAACTGTTAAAAATAATTACTGTAACTGTTATTGAAAATCATGTATATAATGTAACTCTGTAAAGTGTTGCTTATGTTAAACCCCCTATTTCTTATTTTTGTCTTGGTGCAGGTGGAAGAGGGCTGGTGGGAAGGTATACTCAATGGGAAGACTGGCATGTTTCCTTCCAATTTCATAAAGGAACTGTCTGATTCTGATGATGTGGGAGTAGCACAGGAAGAGCAAGGAAAGCCAAGTAAGGAAACAAATATTATTGATGTTCCATGTGTATGTCTGTGTCTTTACAACCTAACACATTGATAGGGTAGGGTGTTCTTATCTCTTGTTTGGAAGTGTTCATGAATGCGGAATTCTTAATTTATGCTGTGAAAAGATCAGGTGATGATGATGATAAGTGTGTACTTGTAGTGTTCCCCAAGTTGTAATGTTGGCAATGGTCCCTGTGTTGAATTGCCAAGCTGGAACAGACCAAGAAGAGAGAAGGCGATGATTATTGGATTTGTATTTCAAAATTAATTACAATGGGTTTTTTGTCTTTAGATGTGAAAACTGAGCAAAGTAACCAAACATCTAAAAAGTGGCTGTGCTTATTTAAATGAGGGATTAAAGTGCCATGCCTTCTGTAATGACTCCAGTAGATTTAAGGATTCATAATTATTGGTGTGGGACATGCAGCACTTTTTCCCTCCAGGTGCTGAGCATGTCACTATCACCTCCGTCACCCACTGCCCCAGCAGCCAAAGGGAAAAAGGCCAGAACTGGGACATGGACTTTGTTCTCTCACTTACAGTGGGCCAGTACTGCTGCAGGTGAAAAGCATGTTTGGTAACTAAATTTGCAATAGTGTAAGCATGGTAGTGGGTTGTCCTATTTATAACTTCCCTTGGAGAATAACCTGAACCAAAAGTATGCTGTTATATGAAATGGATACTTGTTGGTCTTCATGTTTTTTCTGCCCTTCAAACAGATATTCTTTTTAATTCCTAATGCAGTGATCAATTCTGAATCTTTAATGAAAATTTTAAGTCAATTGTATCTGTGTATTCCAGGCTAATTCCACAATACTTGCCAAGGTCTGCCTATTTTCTGCACTGCAGATACTCATTGCTATGCAGTGTTCTGAGGTCTCTGAAGGAGCAAAAGTGAAAGGTTCCCCAACACCTCTGTAAGCTTATTTCAGCTGAAATTTACCAAAGCCTTTATAGGTCACTCTATCAGTAAGAGGTAGAAATTTACACTCCTTTTTTTTTTTTTTTTTTTTTTCTTTTCTTTTTTTTCTCTTATTTCTCCATTGAAGGCAAATTTATAGTCTTTATTTATTCCCACAGAAAAAAAGAACATAAAAACCCCTGACTTGTGCAATGATGAAAATTTTTCATACTGTTTTTTGTAATGGAGTCCCTATTAATGTGTAGTGGCACTGGTGACCTAATCTTGTGGTCAGTGGGGCTAAAGATATTTACAGGTAACTTTTCCTCACACTGGAATGAAGATATTTTTCAGGAAGTTTTCATGTGATGGAGAGGGAAAAAGGCCATTAAGAGAAAATGCACGTTTCAATGAGATTGCAAACTGGTTTTTATAACCTGTATATACTATCATGAATTTTGTTCAATATAACCACAGTGAGTCTTGGAAAGACTGTGTAGATGTAGTTTCAGCTCTGGATTCTGTAATGTTCAGTACTCTGTAAATGAACAAGGTAAGCAATACTGTTCAGGATAGAATACCCCAATTTTACCTGTATGAAAGAATGAATATTCCTTCCCCAGGTAATTTAATAATATTTACTTAATAATAAGCATCCTAAAAATGTATTTTAACAGCGAGATACATTGGAAAGTGTAAAAGAAGCCACAAAGCAGAAGCTTGATTCATCAACATCCATAGTGGCTCATGTGTAGTTCAAACTTGGTTTTGTGTGCTGATTCTGACTGTCAGTGGAACCTAAAACGTGTGATACCTGTACTGAGAAGGTATCAGTAACACAGACACTGTTTCTGTCTCTTTAACTAAATTGAAGGTAACTGTAGCTGAGAGATGGGTTTTCTTCTTTCTTGTGTGTAATTTAACTCTGGAGGTGCTTTGTGACTAGCTAAGATGATGTGTTATTAGGAGCTATTTTCTAAACAGCAAAATGCCTATAAACCAGAAGAACTGTAAACCTCCTTACAGACTTAAGGAATGTTGTGTTTCTTATGGGGGTTTTAATGCTTTTTTATTTATTTTCTTTAAAGTAAACCCATCCATTTAAGAACTGCATTACCCTAGCAGAATTATGGGAAATACATATCAACTGAGTTCTTTCTATTTGGTATATGTAATTGTTACAGGTGTTGCTTTCTAACACATGGTGCTTTTATGAGGCTTTCTTCAGGTACACTGACTTACCTGTATTTGAAAATCTCCATAATGAGATTGCAGAAGTTTCAGCAAGTTTATACAACTGACGAAGAGTGATAATCTCAATCTCCAAGTATCTGCTTAGTCTTAAACCATAGCAACATAAGAACTGAACAAGTAAACCCTGTAAGATTTGGGTATTAGGCTAGTGTTACTGTTGTAATGCTCTGGGTAACATCTGAATAGGGTGTACATTTATACCTCTAGATCAGCTTCTTCCTCTGTGGATGACAAGACATGACAGCACTTCGAATCTCCAGTAACTCCTTTTCTCTGGAAACATTGTTTGAATATGTCTGTATCACAGGACTTCATAAGGCAGCAGCCTTGACTATGAATTCTAGATTGAGTTACCACTCAGGTACAAAGGGCTGCACCTGTGTGTTGAACTAGAACCTTGGGTGGTTCCTGAGGCTCTACAGAGATTTTAGAGGGACCTAGAAAGGACTGTGGGGTATAGCTCTGTGATCTTGAGCAGCAACCTTGAACTCTTCAGCCCAGTTTGGAAAATTAATAAGGTAATCCTTGGCAGGTTTACTGTGAGGCTGGGGAAAGCAGTGTGGGATCTTTGGAGAAGGGGCAGTGTGAAAGCACACAAGTATTTTTTAGTTAATAGCTAAATTTAAAGGTTTGGTTAAATTTAGGTAAACTCAATCTTTTAATTACATTTCACCAACCCTCTCTAAATTGAGCTTTTTTGAAAGGGCAGAAGTAATTTTTTATTAACTCAGAGAGGAAGAAATACAGAAGAGAAAAATTATGTACCTTGGCTTCTTAAGAATCAAGTTAATAAAAATGTGTATTTCTCTGCCCTTCTGCTACGACGTATACTGGCCCAATAGGGAGAAAGGCCTGATTTTATTTGTTGTGTTGTGCCCATGTAAACCTTACGGCAGATCAGAGTAAATGGCCAGAAGGAATTATTTTGGTTTCTTTTCACACTCTGCCATAGAGTTCCCTCAGAAGTTTCCTCAGAACAAAAAGATCCTTCTTTGAAAACATCTGGGGCTAGTTTTGGAAGTGACTAGATATTTCTGAATACTGACAGTAGGACTTGTTGCTTAACTTGAAAAGGTTGGGAACCTGTGCTTCCCCTCAGATAGGGAGGTGCTCAGCAGATTGTAAAGTAAGACTATTAGAAGATCAAAAGATTGGGAGTTTGTTAATTTATTTTTGAAGTATTTCTACCAACTCTAAGGTGACTGCTGAATTTTTTGTCTCCAAAGGCACATTTCAGAATGTAAGTATGGACAGGATCAGGTACCCTTAGAGTAAACAACGGTTCCTTGTTCTTTAAAGCATCCTCTTAAATTAAAATGATGCTTTTCTTTGATTGACTGTTGCAGCATGAACAGGAAGCATGCATTATAATTTTGTTACCATATTAAATAGGTACATTGTTTATAAGTTTGTTTTCTAGTTTTCTCGTATGTCTAGTATTGATTTTAAGAATGTTTTTAATACGACATCTTCTCAATACAGCCTGTCAAGAAGCAAAAAGTTGTCATGTAGTCAGTTTGTCCCTGAGAGAATCACAACTTAATGTTAAGGAGATTATTTTGAAAGCATATTAGGATGTTCATGGCAATGTCATGACAGCATTTAAAGATGATCTTTTATATGTCGCTGCCTCTTGTGTCTGTTCAGGAACTGGTAGACCTCATTGTATGTATCATATATTTTTGGAACCTGTAAGTGATGGTCACTGAGCAGTCATGATTGTTGGAGTTGGAACTGATGATAGGCTCATCAGCTGGTGGTTCAGTCAGGCAACCTTCTGTATTTCGAGTTCTGAATACCTTAGATGCCCAATACTGTCTCTCTGACTCTTCTCAACATTATGAAGCTCAACATACCTTTCTCTTAACAATTTCATAATTGTTGTTTGACTTTTAATAGCATTCTTTTAATGGTATTTTGTAAAAACAGTGTGGAAAGATGGGATTTGTGGCTTTTTTTGCTTCCTCATTATGTAAAAATAAGACAAGGAAAATATTTAGTTATTAATTAAACTGCACAAACAGAAAAAAAAAAATTATAATACATAAATGAGTATAGCTTTCTATTTTCTGAAAGTCCAACAGGATGATATGCAGGGGAAAAAACCCCACATTTTTAGTACTAAAATCGATGTGGTGCTATGTTGGGACAATTAATGTGTACTGGCTGTTTTACTGTAAAATTTTACTGATTACATTAATTTTTATGATGGTATACCGAGGTAAGATCTACAAGAAGACAATACATTAGCATACATTGGTATATTCTTGGGCATGCCTGGGTACCCTGGGTTTAAAGAAAAATAACACCCAAAACACCTCAGCTGCTCATGTCTTTACCTTCTCTAGAATTTCATATCATTAATTTCAGAGCATGAGTTACCTTGCTATCAAAGAAAAAAAACCAAAGAAATTAATGGTTTTGAGAATAAAAATGTTATCTTAAAGTTCTAAGATGGGAAGTAGGATTTGTTTGGGCACGTTTCTTTTTGTTTTGTTGTTTTCTTTTTTCATTTTAGTATTTTGTTTTTGTTAATGTGTGCCAAGTGAAACACCTGATTAAGCTATTGGCTAAAAATGGATTTATTCAGATTTTAGTGTCCTATCCCTTCAACTAAGCATTAAGACCAGTTCCCACGTCCAAAACCTTTCTAGTAAGTCATCTTGGAAAGATGCAGTGTTTCTGATGCTCACAGGATCCTGACATAGTAATGAAATGTGAGTATTTCAGTGCCCTGTTTGCATGTCAGCTGTGCTTGTCCGAAGGCACTACATCTGCATCAGGAGTGGGAGCCACTGTGAGTATATCACCGCAGCAGTGATTTTTTTCAGG